TCCCTCCTCCCCAGAGGAAGCATCACATGCGAGAGGTACGAGTCACTGCCAGCAGTGGAGACAGACAGTAGATGTCTGAGATGATTACATTTCTCTTGTCACCCGATGTTCAGCAGAGACAAAAAAAATCATTTCATGATGAAAATCCTTTGTTAAAGCCTCCCTCTTGCAGAGAGAGCGCTGTAGCCCAATCTGCTCAGCACAGCACATACCTAACAGTGACCACAGGAGACAGCGCTCGATGCGAGCTGCAGTCCACAGGCAGAGCAGTGCATTCAAGGAGTTGTTCCAATTAGGTCATCCCTGGTTAAAGTTCTTTTTTTTTTTTTTTAATTTTTAATTATTTTTTTTTTTGATAAAATAGATGAAGTTGACCCTTCAGAAATTCAGCCTTCCCACCATCTCCATTCCATTGCACTGTCGCCAGTGGCACAAAATTACAAGGAAAACCATGACTTAAGGAAGGAGCTGGAGAACAATTTGAGCTGGCTTTACTAGTTACTACTGCTGTACCTGCCTGATCACCCCCAACCCTCCCAGTCTTTGTTATCTGATCCGCTGTGCTCTGCACCTGCTGCAGATTCTCCCCTTTTCAGGGTAATCTGGCATTCACAAGACAATAACTTCAGAAATTTGCTGCTGCTTCTGGCAGGTAGGAACATGCTTTGCTTTGCAGCTGTTTGCTATGCATCTGCTAAAGCATTCAGAAGCTGTGGGGGCAGGAGAAGCATAACAAAATGTATTTCCAGTCTTTCTATCATTACTGCAGTGGGCCAAATCCACAGCAGGTGCAAATAAGCATGAGATTTCTTCACCTTGTTACACCACCTGCTCTGAGTTTTAGTCGCTCAGTTCAGCCAAAAGATTCATAACCATGTTATTTTAGCTTCCCCACGCAAGTTCTCCACATTCAAACAATCCAACAGATACTTTGCTGAGCAGAGATTTTATCCTGATGTATATTTGAGAGGGCCTTCCAGCTTCCCCACTGCTTTCTGTGGTCAGTCAGAGCTAGCCTTTATTTCCACCCGTGGCAGCTAACCTGTATCAACTCCTTCATTTCCAGGTATATCAGTGCAAAGATGCAGGAGTGCTCCATGCCCATATCTGCATCTTTCTCTCTTCACAACCACTCTCCTGAGATGCTACTAGTGGCCCAAAGCAGTCATAGAGCTGAGCTGGTTTATCAGGGCTCCTGATACACAGAAGAAGGTGCTGAGGGGTGAAAGAGAGCTAGAGCTGGCACTGCACAATTATTTTATGGTGGTAGGTGTAAAGGCAACGTACTGATGGATGAAGAGAAGAGAGGCAAGTGCTTACCTCGCAAATTACTGTACTCCACAACCTTTCCTTTCCCACATCACACCTCTCCAGATGGCACAGAAGTAGAGAAAAAAAGTGACAATGAAACAGGCAAGCACTTCCTCATCTCTGAGCCTGAGGATCTCTTTGGAAGTTCACCTCCAGGGCTGAGGGCAATGCCCTTGAGGTCCACGCTGCCAGCAGGCTTCGTGGTGAGGGCCAGAGAGCTCAAGCTCTTCCACAGCTTTAGCTAGAACAGGCCACCTTGTGCTTTAGCACCCTCCCTGGTGCTCTGGCTAAGGCCAGAGTTCTTAGCTCTAAGGCTGTATACAGAAACCACACAAAATTGCAAAGAGTAGATGGAAATGATAAGCAAAGCAACAAGTTTTTTCTCTCTCTCTTTTTTTTTTTTTTTTTTTTTAAATAAGCAATACAGAACAAACAGACCACATCAGCCCCATACCATGTAGGTAGGCTCTTGGGAAAGCATTTATATCCCCTCTCCCCACACTCCTCATCAGCATCACCTGGACCAGCCAAATTCTCCACCCAGAGGCAGGTGAGGGCTGTGCTTTGCCCAGCAACAACATGAACCCAGCTGGTATCATTTACACAAGAGATATGTCCGGATCTCCACAGAGAAAGTTTTAGTAGTGAAAAACAGCATCTGCAAAATGACTTTTTTATGTTTAAACCAAGGCTGATGGTGCTGGGAGGAAGGTGACTCAGATGCCTCGTACCGTTCCTCCTCAGAGCCCGTGTTTGCGTCATCCTGCGTCAACCATCAAACCTGCTCCGCTTTACTGCTGCGGAAACCTGCTTGTCGTGTCCTTGTCTCCTGCCTGATGGCTTCTTGTGTAGGCGACAGCAGGAAGGCTATTGCACAACATTGCAGGGCCTGTCTGATGGGAGCACCGCATTGGGATGATTTCATTTGTGTTCAAACTGGTATTTATTACAGTGGCAAAATGGGCACTTTATGCCTCTGGTTTAGCCTGAGCGGCTTTTTTTTTTTTTTTTCCAGCTCACATACCAAAATGATTGAAGAAAACAGCTCTGAGGCACTTCTAAAATAAGAAGAGTCTGTCAGCAACTTCACGGTGACTTTACGTTCATGCCTTATGTTTCCCATGCCAAATCCTTAAGGCGACTTTGGGCTCACTTGGGCTTCCTGTGTTTCCCACTGTCCCTCAGAAACATACGGTGAAGGTATAATTGACCCAACAAACACTGAGAAGTCTCAATCCCAGTTGCTGCATCATCCTTCAGGTATATTTTCTCCAAATTAAATTCAAGGAGAAAGGGCTTTAGGAATTGGTTTGCACTCCCTCCTTCCCCAAAGCCCCGATCGGCTTTAATTAAGAACGTACTCAAAACAAGACTTGGAAGAAGCTCTCAAGAGCCACATTTCAGAAGGGCCATAACCGGTCTGATGATAACATACCACTTCTAGTCAGGCCACTGGGACTTAGGAAGATATCTGAAATGTGTTGAGATACAATTCTTGCAGTGGAAGATAAAACACTGTTAGGTGTCTGCTCTCAGAACCAGCTTTGCCTGGATCCATCTGGTCTGCAGAGGGGGTTCTGCCGCACTCTTTACTGTGCTCTGCTCAGGATAAATGCAAACCCAGCGTATTTAAACACCCATAAGACAAAGTGCAGCTGATGGACACCAAATGCAGTCTTCCCAAAGCAGCTGTTGATGCACCTGCTTCCAGGTAACACTTCAGGCAGGAGACAACAGTGTACTCAGTGGGTTTCCACATCCTCTCTCTGCTCCCACACGGCTCCGTACCATGGGGTCCATCCATCCCCCAGGAGCAAACTGCTCCAGCACGGGTCCCCCACAGATGGCAGCTCCCCCCAGACCACCTGCTCCTCCGTGGGCTCCTCTCCACGGGCTGCAGCGTGGAGATCTGCTCCATGTGGGACCCATGGGCTGCAGAGGGGACAGCCTGCTCCACCAGGGGCCTCTCCACAGCCTGCAGGGAGCTTCCGCGCCATGCCTGAAGCACCTCCTGCCCTCCTGCTGCACTGACCCTGGGGCTGCAGGGCTGCTTCTCACTCTTCCCTCCCAGCTGCTGTTGTACATCATTTTTTTCACCTGCTTTCTTAAATCTGCTCTCACAGAGGTGCAAACATCAGTTATTGGCTCAGCTGTGGGCAGCAGCAGGCCCCTTTGGAGCTGTCTGAAACTGGCCCTTATCTAACACGGGGCAGGTTCTGGATCCTTCTCACAGAGGCCACCCCTGCAGACCCCGCTACCGAAACCTTGCCATGTAAACCCAATACAGGGCCTCGGCAAGCTGATGCCACGTTTGCCATCACGTCACCGCCTGTGGCTCAGAGCTGGCCTAGGCAGCACCGTGGGCAAGGCCAGTGAGGCCTCGTTGCACTCCAAGGCCGGATCACACAGTGCTCTATACACAGCAGGAAGCTGCTGCTACCGAGGCCTGGGGAACAGCTTCATACTGACAGATACCCAGGCTTAACCCTGGCTCTGTAATAGGATTAGCACACAGGCACAGAAACCCCAATTGTAGTGTCTTTTTTTTTTTTCCTTAGCACTCATCAGACAGCTTCAGCCAAAACCAGAGCCACCACCCTCCCACAGCTCCACTCTGTACCACCTCCTGTGGTGACTAAATACAAAATGTTAACAAAAATAAACTGCTCCTTGCCTCTCTCCAGTCCATCTGCCCCACAAAGGAGAGAGGAAGAGCCCCCTCTGGCCTCGGAGTAGAAGTCTGGGGGTAGGTTTGGGCCACCAAAAAAAAAAAAAAAGCATCCTTTTGTGAGTCTGAAATGGGAGCTCTGTCACACACAGACTCTACTTCTGTTTCTCTTTTCCCCCATTTCTAATGTCATTTCTAACACCAGTGTGTTCTTGACATTGGCCAGTTCGGAAAGGTAGATAACTGCACTTAGCTGCAGGCAACCAGGGTTCTCCACCAGGAGCCAGCAGCCTTAAGCTGGGTCACCAGCCACTATTAACGGGAGTAGGCCACTGCAGGGATGGCATTAATGGCAGCAAATACATCTTTAAGCCCATTCTTCTAATTGTCGGTCACGGAGTGACCCTCTTAGGATATTTTAGGGACATTTCTTCCATGTGGACCAACCACAAACTTCTGTTTCCCTGGCTGCAACGCCGGTGCTGTGTGAAACATGGCCCAGCAGATGCAGAAGCTTTTAAAGAGGATCTGACAGGCAGGAAGGCAGGACAAACTAAAATAAAACAAACAAAAAACAATTGTTTTCTTTCAGGAAACAAGACTAAAAAAATGTCTATTTTTCTAACATTTCCATTAAACACTACCATACCGATAAGAACAAAGGCCATCCTGCCCTGCCCTGGATGCTGGGGCTCAGGGAAAGAGCTATTAAGTTGGGTATTTTTTTTGTGTTTTGCTTTTTTAATTTCAAAGGATATGGGTAGACCAAAAAGTTTTTCTTAACTGTGCTGATTCCTACTGTATGTAGAAAGTCCTTTAACTAAATTATCAACAGATTAGCCCAACACCTGAGCAGCATATGGGCATTTTCCTTACAAATTGCATCATTAGGTATTCTGCCCTCAAAATTAAAGGACTTAATAATCAGTGATCTTTTTTCCAGCTCTATAGAATAGGTCTCTTGCCCTCTTTGTGCCACTACTTTTCTGTCTACAGAGAGGATAATTTTCCTTTGTTTCCCTCAGAAAACAGGAGGTTAACTTCAGGAAAGCTATGCATTTTTTTCTGATGGAAGGTAACACATCTGAACAAAATATTTGTAACCATTAAACGGGTTAAACTTGAAGATCTACATGCATTTTTTTTTTCTTCATCCAAAGGACAATGAATCCTCAGCTCCATTTCCTTTTTTAAGTTTATTAATATGTTTTGGAAGTGCATTGAGTGTGATGGGAGTTGTCATTCCAATATTGCTCAGCAGTGCCAAGCTAACACCGGTAAATTAAAACGTCTTTTATCAGTGCAGGGATCTGCCAGTGACTTATCTCCCATCCACTTTGTAGGACAGATTGCAGATAGAAAAGGGCAGCCTGCCAGGGAGGACGGCTCTTGCTCTTTCAAACCACAGGTGACCTGTCACCAATGTTTCTTTTTCCCCACTTGCTCTAAATTTTGTACTAGCTTCTTGGCTTTGATAGAAGACTTTGAGGCCCTGATTGGGACTGATGGTGGTCAGAAAATTGGGAACCTGAGGAATGTTTAATCAAAATGACACAATCACTGAAAAGCCCAAATAACTTGACTGCTGGCATTTGGCTCTGAGAAATGCCTATGAATATGGGGATTTGCAGCAAATAATTTGCCTGGTCTGTGTAGGCCACCTGAAGCATCCTGGCTTCTTCCCTCATGGAGCACCATGGCTGGGATGGGTGTCTGCCTCAGAGGGGCTGATACCACTGCAACATGAACTATTTTTGGCAGCCTGTGCTGCGCTGCTCCCAAAGCAGTGACACGTTTCCATCCATTGCCTCTCAAAAGTTAAAAGCTTGTCATAACATGTCAGGTGGTGAGGCTGCACCACGTGTCTGATGAGACAACTTCCAGTCCACTGCAGACAGCCTAGTCTGGATGCTGAAGAGATGGAGAGCCGGCATCCGAGCCGCTGAAAAAGGCTTCATCTGCTTATGGTGGAATCTCTCCCCCTCCTATTGCCAGGGGTGACAGCTGGAAATTTGAAGATATCTTTATTTATTAAAAATGTAACCATTTCTCTTGTTAGAAACTTAAAACATTTCTGTAAGCTTCAAAGTTGAGTGAACAATGGGCCAGGATTTCCATCAATAAAATAAATAAGTAAATAAATAAATAAATAAAACAACCCTGAACTCTGTACAGAACAACAACAATAAAAATGTGGCAAATGCTAGCAATAGGCCAGAACATGGATGCAATGGCATATCCCACACCCAAAATAATGTGTCCTCAAAACTAGATGCTTTAATATTCAGGAAAGGTTGAGGCTGGCATCAAATTATTAGTTTGTCCTGGTTACAAAGAATAATGTTATTTTTAAATTCTAGCCCCTGGGGGCTCTCACAGAATGGCCAGTTACATAAAGGAAAGGAACATAGCTGGTTATGAACACTTCAGAATAAGATAAAGGAAGTCCCAAGAGAACTGAGGCTGACGCACCCATAGCTATAGCGCCTTTGCTGATATTTTCCCCTTCACAGCCTTTCCAGGACAGTGCTTAGGTCCTGAGGGAGGTGTTGGTGCCCACTAAACCTGAGCAGAAGGGGAGCCCTGCTTCACCTGTGATCTGGGGTGACACAGTGCTTTCAGTTGTTCTCTGAAAAACAAACAAAACAACACAATAAGCCAAGAGGTAAATGAAGAAAATACTACAGTGTTAAATATGTTGCAGATCAAGAAGTGCTTCAATAGCACAGCCCAAATGTGTCCTCGCTAAATCATCCCAATTTCATATCCTTTAGGCAACTTGTCTACATACCAGCACTGGCAAGGAAAAATCCTGTCAGAAGCATTTTTTTCTGTCTTTATCCTCTGAGTGTCCAACTCTTTTCTTGCTAAATCTCTACAGTCTGGAGCTCAAATTACCATTTCTGACCAGTGCAGAAACAAATGATGAAATATTCATGATTTGTTCATACTTTTCATCTTACAGAAGCAACAGCCAAGCACTAAATTTGCATGATCTAACCAAAGACGGCATTTCAAGAGAAAAGTACTTTATACAGTGATATTCTCAAACTTTTATATATTGAGGTAAAAACAGCAACTTTTTGCCCTTGCTTGTGCAGTCACACATTGTTTAAAGAGCATCCTGCTAAATTTTCTGAGGATGTGTAAATTTATCATCTGGGCCACAGGAAATAAAGCAGGGTTAAAACATTGAACAAAACTGCACTGAAGTTAACAAGCCTAAGGTTCATAAACCCTGCAATAGAAGCTTGCAGAAATCTTTCAAGGCTCATCCAATAAAGCCCCGTGGCACTTTGTTCTTCCCCCCAAATCTCCATCTGTCTGAGCCAGCATCAGCAGGAAATTTTGCATGGAAGCTTGCCAGATAAAATAGCTACTTCAGCTGGCTTTCAACTACCATTAGATTTAGAGGGTTCTTTGAGGAATATGTTAAAATCTTTGCAATTTTTAAGCTATGTCCAACCCAAGTTAGAGATGGGTCACATCTTGTCTCAATGTACTTAGTACATCTTAAAAAAAAAGATCATTCATGTATGCTTTAATTTTACATATGCAGTTATTTTCCATCTGCATTTTGCCCTGTTCACCTCCTGCTGCACTAAAAGCTGAAAACACTCCCGTTTCCTGGGGATGTTCAAAAGTTAATTTAAGTCAATTTAATTAAATACATCTCATTCCCCTCAGAATTGCCCCAAACTTTCCAAATACAGCTGCCTTACAAGTGGACTTGGCCTTCAACCCTCGGCACAGGTTAGACTTCAATATCCACATTCGCTCGCTGACACAAAGTTTGCTACTGGGAGCTAGAGTGACTGTTGACTTCTAGCAGCTACTTAGTTTTCAGATAATTTCTTTGAAATGTATTTCTTCCCCCAGCACAGCACAGATGACATAATGTGCCCTTGAATGCCTCCAAAAGAAGTTGACTGAAATTTGTAGTAGTGATATTATGACATTTTTTGCAAGTCCTTTTCCTGAAAAGGCAGAAAATCACAGTCTCCCTGTGAGCAGCATCTTAGGGAGATTACAACCCCTTGAGACACAGCATCACTCTGAAACCACTGGGAGCCCAGCTGTGGTTCTTCCAGCTTGGCCATCCATCACATCTGCAACCAGTACCCTTGCTTCCAGAACATACACCACTCTTTAGCAGGCTAAGGTGCTCTGAGATTAAACGCTATTTACCAGATATTCTTGGTATCAAACTGCATTAGGCATGTCACTAACAACCTTCAGAACAACGAGACCTCTTCAAGCCAGATTTGGCTATGTGAGTCAAGGCACACTTGTGTTGTTTCAAGCAGTTTTTGTCAGGTTCCTCTGGAGTGTCGCAGTAGTTCAGATGAATTTACAAGGACTTTGCCCTATTCTTGAAGCAGAAATCCTGGGGAGCCCTGGACCCTCTTGGAGGGGCCGTTGGCCAAGTTACTCTTCCACAGGCCATCCCCTCTCTGCAGCCTTGTTCTCAGCCTGCCCAGGGGATGTGGTGGCTGGGTCATAGTGGCAACTGAGAAGATCTTGGCTCCCCAAGGCCATGCCCATGCTGCCCTTGGTAGGACAGGCAGCTGTCACATAGGGCTGTGTATGAATGACTGATTTTTCACTCCTTTCTAAAACTCACTTAAGCATTTTGTCATGATGAGGACACACAGAAGTACAGGGATTTTGCAGAGAAATGCAGGAAAACAAGGTCTGTCATTTCCAGGGTTTAGGAAACTCGAAAACATCTCCTTAAATTTGTAGAACAATCATTTTCACAGCAATGAATTTTAATTGATGCTCTTTATCTACTAATACAGGGGAAATTTTTCTTTTTATATTTTTCCTAGTTGGGACATGTCATTTTTGATCTCCATTTTCATAATTAGTAGACTACCATTTCAAACAAAAAGTGCCAGGCAGGGTATTTATGCGTAGCGGTTCTGCCTCAGGCGTTAATGAAGCACGATACTACGCAGCAGGCACAGTTGTGTTGGGTGTAATGATACAAATTGGATGTAAATAATACAATTATTTGTGGGGTAACACGAGCACTGCAAAAATAGTGTTCCTGACAGTAAATACTATTGTTAGGACAGGAAGGTGCCGCTAATGCCACTAAGCATTACAATCAATTCTCGATAACATCATGTGAACCAAGCTAATAAATGGGGAATTATATGCCTCCTGCACATTCCTGCCTGTGTGAGACAGGACTTGTGTGCTAATAGAGCAACAAATAATCCCGCTGGAAAATCAAGTCAAGGAAGCTGCAAGTTAACAAACCAAAAAAATCCCCAAACGCAGCACTTCCCATGGAGGAGAACAACCTCTACAAATGCAACGAAGACATGAAAGGTATGTAAAAAATCACTTTTTGCAAAGACAGCTGTGAAGCAGAACCTCTGTCTCAGCCCCAAGACTGACAGCAAGCAACAAACCTCCCAAACCCAAGAGGCAGCACCCTGCTGAATGCTCAGTGGTGTGAAAGGCAGAGCAGCCATCACGTGCAATGCAGGGGCTCTCGGTTTGCTGCTCGCCGCCTGCCTGTGCCCACTAAAAAGTCCTGTGGGAGGGAAGGGCAGGCTGCCTCTGCTTCGCTGGAAAGCAGACCTCCACCCCCTGACATGAGATGGTTCAGCAGGTCTGGAAAAGACTGCGAAACATGAGTCACCAGGACTGGAAAAACAGAGTGCAAATTATTTGGAGAAGTTGCACAAGCTCCCAAATAAAATGCTAGCTCTCCCTGCAAAGGGAGTGTTAGCAGCTCCCCTGTGATAGACTCGGAGGAGAGATGAAGGCTAATGTAAGCCTCGCCACTTGCTACGGGAGAAATTGGAGAAATCACTCAAACGAGGCAGGGATTAAACTGGGACTGAGCTCAAGGAAATTTAGATTACAATGATGGAAAGGAGGAGAAGATTAAAACTCAGGGCTGAGTGAGTAATGCCCAACAAATGTATTCAAATGAATCTCCTCCATCGAGGCACTTCCAGAGCTCCCATCACCTTGCAATCTTTAATGCACTTGCTCTGCTGGAAGGAAGGCAGTGCTGCTATTTCTATCTCTCGTTTGGGGAATGGAAACATGGGGAGATTAAGTATCTTGCTCAAGGTGACCCAAAAAGTCTGCTCCAGAACAGAAGAATGCAGCCAAAACTGTCAGGTCTCAGCCCAGCGAGGGGACCACAACTCCTCCTGTGAACAGCGTGTAACTTTGGGGGAGGCATTCACTCCTTGGGCTTGTCCTCTGTCCCAGTCCCTGGCCTGGGACACACTGCCAAAAATCCCACAGCCAGTGCCAACACCTTTCCCAAGCTCTTCTCTGCTCAGCCATTCGCTTCTGCAGAAGGCAGCAGGAGTTTTTTGGGAGCATCGAGAGGAACAGAGCAAGGGTGACGCACTTGGGCTGGCGTGTTTGCCACTCCTTTAATGACCACAGTGGTATAGCCACCTGCAGTACTGAGGGTGCTGAGCCTGTGCTGTGGGAGGGGAAGAGCCATGGGGCAGCTGCCTGACGGCTGGATTTGCAATTACTTTGCCTCCATTTGGATCCTGCACAGATGCATGGATCTCACCACTGCAGAATTGGATCCTCACCTGTCAAGGTCTCCAGTTGAAATAAACTGCTGGAGAGTCTAGTCCTTGTGCCTTCTGAGCTTGAGCAGGCAAAAATTTGTGACGTAGCTGCTGGGGCTCTTTGGTTTTAATGTAAGTGAATTTGCCCAGACCTGCTGGAAGTTTGCTGCATGCTCAGCATCTGCCCCCAGCCCTGTGGCCTCACAGAGTGCAGTACCAGTGCCTATTTTTTCATTTTTTTCTCTTTAACAAAGAGAGATTTGGCTGGCCTTGGTTGCTTTTTCAGACTTTACCATGTCTGCAGGGTGCCGATGAACATGGGGAGCCTCCAGCAGAGCAGCCCATGCTGCAGACTGTGGGCATGCCTCACACCCAGCCCAGGCTGAGGAATATTCTGTGTGACCAAAGCAATGCCCATGGAGTGGAAATCTTGGCTCTGCATGCAGACCTGGGAATAGCACTGCCCTAAGACTGAGAGCAATTTTTACCTGTATCTATATTTTGCCGAGGCTTTCATTACACCTTTCCAGCTGCCAAGGCACATTTTCTGTTGGCACCTCATTTGCAGGAGGTATTTCTTCCTTTTTTCTCTGTCCTTCACACAGCCCATTTGCTGCTCTCTCTGCTCCCAGAGATGACACCTCCCAGTTGTTTTCTCTAGGCCGCACCAGGTCAGTTGCAAGGCAGATTGCTTTCACACCTGCCACGAAAATCTCCACTGAACATTTCCACAAAACTTCAGTGACCGCTCTCGAGTCCCACCAACTTCTGCAGGGCAGCTGCAGTGCTGAGCCTGGCCAGCAAAAAAAAAATGAAAATTTTATGGGACCCAATCCCCAATTCTGTTACAGCCCGGAGAATGATATCCATCTATTTCAGCAAGTTGTGGATGAGGTCTCATCCCTTCATAAATGGAGCTGCCTAGTGGCTTGCTCATCTGCGTCCCCAGCCCCAACCTGGTGCTGTAGCATCCATCCATCCTTCCATCCACCCCTGCATCGCCTTGGGCTCCCCATCAGGGGTCTGTGTCCCACTGCAGCCGGCGTGTGCGTCCAAGTGAATGTGTTGGTAAATAATTTATGTGGGCATGATTTACATGCTTAATTAGCTTTGCTTTTAATTGCAGCATTCACAAGGCAGAATATTTTACCACAAAGCGCTATGCCTGGAGCCTGTTTGATTAACTACAGAAAGAAAAACATTTAGTAGCATAAAACTGAACCACCACAAAGTCAATACATATTAAAGGATTTGAAGGGCTTTTTTTTTTTTTCAGCTAAACACATTTTATGAACAGCAGGGAAGACAAAATTCTGAATTCAGTGCTAGATACCATTTTTTTTCCTTGCTGCTCTGCTGCAAACCAATCTCAGGGTCTTGCAATCTGTTTTTCTTTTTTTTTTTTTTTTTTTCATTGAAGGACAAATAAATGATACAAAGCCTGGACATCACCTCAGTCTATCTTATTTCCCTTGCATCAAGCTTTGGGAAAGGGCAGCCAACATTTAATGACATTTAACCCCTTTGGCCATGACCCTGGCCACACGTTAGCAAGTGATCCCTGCAGTCCCGGGGGCTGGTTCTGTGCAGGGAAATTAAGGTAAATCCTGTGCTGTTTGTAGCAGCTGCCTCTAAGATATATTGCATCACAAAATTAACAAAGCCTGTGCGGTATTTTAGGAAGAAACCCGGAGTAACCGCATGTACGAGCACCATCTATTGGCTGCACTATTGCTTACAGGGTGCAAAATGCATCCCATTTCTCCGCGGCATGGCACAAGGGACAGGCCTGGCCTCCAGGAGCTCATTTGGGACAAGCAGCCAGGCAGGGGCCAGTGGGGATTGCCAGTGGGGAGCCCTGGGTCACCCAGGTTCAGAAGGGGAGTTTGGTGGCTCTCTACCTGGGGTCGTGGTCCTGATGCCCTCTGGAGCAGCCTGCCAGCTGCTACAATTAAGGATGCTCCATTACTCTCTTTTCCTATAGGGATAATCTATTTTGGCCTCGGCAGCCTGAGATAATTAACTCCAAACAAGGTTTTGGGAGCATTCGGGGTGTTTGGCCACTGCTCCTGCTCTATCGTTTTAAGAACAAAGAGCTACAAATCCACAGCAATTTAGAGTCCGACTTTCCAATTAAGGATTTGATGTGTTTTTATGCCTCTGAAGTGACAATATTTGTCAGGCCGTTTGTTCGGTGCATTGTCTGCATGTGCAGTTACACAGGAATTGGTTTAATTAAGGTTAATTGGTGCATAATTAGAGCTGCTGCCAACACAAAAGAATGGCTGCAGACCAGGGAGAGAGTCGATTTCTATCCAGCTCCAAAGGACAAATAGCATCAAGCGGAGATTACAGCTGAGCACTAAAAACCTAAACTGCTTCGTGTTTTAGCACTGCTTTTTGTAAAACAACATGTCTAGCTGCTTGGCACTGCTCTCCCCAAGGCACATAGCCCTGTCCCAGTAAACAGAGCGTTTTTAATGGTGGAAGGTGTCTGAGCTACTAAATCCTTGCAGTTGGATACTGCCTTTGCCAGTGCAGGGGAAATGCACGGGATGGGATGCTGAAAATCAAAATGGAAGCAAAAATGGAGGATGAGGGGTCTCTCAAGAAGCAGCTGGGACTTCTGGCACAGTAAACTCACCTGGAATTGCTGGCGTGGCGTGGTCCCGGAGGGAGGCTCCAGTCCCAGCTGTGAGGTGATGCCACCAGCACTTGCAGGACAACCCTGGCACAGTTCTGGTGTCGGCGCCTGGTCTCTGCAAGAGCTGAGTGGGATGATCATCAAAGAGCATCTCCCGTTGCTGTTAACCTGAGAAGACCAAAGAGTTTCCACGAGGAAATGTCTCCACACCGTAAAACACCACAAGCAGCACCGTGCAGCTGCATTGGGTGCTACTAGAAGCAATTCAGGCTCTCAGAAATATTTTTGAGAAAAGCCAGTTTGGCTAGAAGAAATGTCAGGACAACTTTCAAAGCCCACGGCTTTGTGGCTGAAGTTCTTTGCCAAGCAGGATTTCTTTCTTGCCCTCACTGGGAAGTTTGCCTCTTCTCGACTCAGCCACACCGACGCTGGTCGAGCCAGCCCGGCACAGCCCTGGGGAGCTCCACCACAGCTCTGAAGAAGAAATAGATAATTCTGTAAGTTCAGCCCTGCAGGTTGGAGCCTGCTGGCCTAAACCTCTCCCCACTTTGCTCCTGGCACTGCCAGCGAGGGCACAGTGAGGGCATGAAACCGGGTGTTGCATGCTCACAGTAAATACTTGCTTAGGCCAAGCCATGACCACACAGTGCCTGCAGCTCCCTGCTGCCTGCAGTGGGGTTCTTTCTCCTTAATTTAGCTGTATGGGAATTAGATGACCAGTCCAGCAACCTCCTTTGGACCCTGGGACAGACCAGGGTCACCTAAAGGCAATTCCACCTTCTGGAGGTGACCATCTCATCCCCCACACAAAACTACTCATCGTTCTTCCACCTGAATCCCCTCACATACAGCAAGTCCAAGAAGCAGCTAAAGGCAAAGGCATTTTCAGAGAAGCCCAAAGGAGCTGTCAGCGCTAAATCTTAAAGAATAATAAATTATGAATTAAAAAAGAGTGAGGGGAAAGGATTGCACGCCTGAGACAGCCCCACATGATACAGGTGCTTTCAGGTTGCTAAGCTGCAGGGAACTATTCAGGAACAGTGTCCAAGGGGCGCAGCAATGAAATCAGTGTTACAGGAATCAAAGGGCTCGGTACGTGCATGAACAGGAAAAAGCATCTTTGCTCAAGCTATAGGTAACAGTGAAAATGTAAATAAGTAAATATTCCTTCCCTGTTGCACAAACACAGAAGCCCAGCTTCTGACGACACAGAGGATTTGGGGTTTCCACAGCACTGATGTCAGAAACTACTTAGTGCCTAGGCAAGTGAGGGATCAGCTGGTCTCTCCAGCTAGAACTAGGGAATCTCAGGAAGGGCAACTTCTCAGAGCTGGGGAAAAGCTCCATGTTAAGACAGAAAAGGTGAAACCAACTGTTTTTGAAGAGTTTCCTATGCAGGAACCAGTTGACCACGTTGCATAAATCAGCACAGCTCCACTGATGAATGGGCTGGTGCCAGGCAGGGTCTGAACCCAAAAGGAACAAGAGTCCCTTCCAGCCATAATGTGGGGCAACAAAAAGCTTTCTGCTTCTTTCAAAGACAACACGGCTCACATGATGTGGGATCCTCACAGCAGGGTTGCCAGCCATTTCTCTATTATTATTAATTTCAGGATCCAGCAGACAATACAGCTGCGTAGATCACCAGTGGATGCTGAACGGGCACTCAGAGGCATCAGCATTGCCAGAAGAAAATAGCACTGACCTGTCATATGAAGAGCTTCTTGTCTGCAGATCTTGAGGAGGGGTAATGTGGCACGAGGCCTATGTCTTGACCAGCAGATACGATGTGCTCTGGGAAGCTGGAGGTGGCAGGGAGGGGCCTGACTTGTCCCCAAGGGGATGGAAAGGTTTTGCTCACTCTCAGGTCAGAAATTTAAGATGAGGCTTCCCTCCATCCCTCAAGGCCAGCCTGCCTCTGCAATTACCCTAGTGGTTCTTCAATGCAGTCACAGATTATCGTCGATGGGAATCTGCTGCCTCTAAATTCAAGAGGGCTGTCACACAGGAGTAGGACAAGCACATGGACTGCCCCTTGTCCCCTTGCTTCACATCTGCTGGATGGCTTCTCCCCTTCCCAACAAGGCTGTTGAGTGGAGCATCGAAATCGTGCTGCATTCAGTGAGCTAGGGGGTGTCAGGTGCTTCCCTCTCTGTGTTGCACTCGCATTAGACACGTTTTTTCAAATGATGTTTTGCATTGATTCGTTTTTCTGGGTGAGCAGCGCTATTTGACGTACTCTGCTGACTGAACTTCTTGTCAAGCACGTTTTTTAGCAAAGATTTTTGTTCCCACACTCAGGTGACACAACTGAATGAGTAATCCCTGGCTGACTGCAGAGTCTGTTTGTTGATGCAGTGTCCTTTTTAAATGTTGCTGGCCTGTTGGTCATCCTGCTTATTGACTGCAGTCAGTAATACACTCCTGGAGAATTTCTAAATATAACTCCACAGAAGACTGCGTGGCTCTAATTGTCTTCTTACACAGCCTTGCACCAAGCTCATACTAATAACATCCTGAATATCTTCTCCAGAATAAGTCAGACGAGCCTGATTTGAGGTACAGAAATGGCTCATTATACATTTGTTAGTTGCTGGTTACAGCAGCCTTGCTGAGCTATCAGTCTGGGCAGTTATGTAAGTGATTCTGGCCATTAGGAGCTGTTACTCCACTAACACAATGAACTTTGTTTTCTCATTAATAAGTGTGTTAAAAACAGAATGCAGAGTATACGAAAAGGTTATTATGTCTTTTATAATGAAATGCGTGTTAGGCCATAACTCAGACACCAGCTAAAAATCACGAGCCTATTAAAAAGAAATTGTGCTTCAGTCCATTCAGTCGAGGCAGCGTACGTGGGAGATGGCAAACAATAAGGGAGCAGGAAAAAAGTAAATTGGAAGGGGACTTTTTAGACACAGCCACATAGGTTAGCACTGCCACTTGCCAAGCAATCACAAGAAAATACTTTGAGTAGAAGGGCCAAAATACAAAACCAGAAAAAAAATTAAACAACCAATTTCCACCAAGACCCATGACTGTAAGTGTAGTAGTAATTCTTTCTAACATAGAGGATTTCAGTATTTGGGAACAATGGTCCCAGAGTACTGCCAGGCGTGGTGCCGTAGCACTGCCCTGGCTCACAGTGCTCTCACAACCTTGCTTTGCCCTCTTTGGCATTTCCAAGGTGGGGATGAACCTCAGGGGAAAAAGCATTTTCACTCATGTCCTAATGATGTCCTCTGTCACCTGCAGAAGATGCAAGTCTGGGCGATGCTTTCAGCCTGGATTACTCCCTCTGGAAGTGCCTGGACCAAGCCAGGACTAACTCCACCACTGGTAGATGCAAGAAGAGGCAGCCATCCCCTTTACATCTCAGAGGACAGGGTTGTTTTCAAGACATGGCAGACTGCAGGTTGTTTTTTTTATCTTACCACGAAGGAGAAATAAGCGTGATGCAAGCAATCTTCACTGGATCGCACTATAACACACACAGCCGGGGCTTTCTCCTGTACACCTTGATTTCTTGTTTGGGGATGCTGCTTGTTGCTTGGTTACGGGATGCTACTGAAAAGCGCTGCTTGCCGTGCTGAGGAGAAGGAATTGCTTCTTGGGGAGAGAAGATTATCTGCCAGGGACATTGCTGGTACAAAGCAGGCAATGATGTGGGAAGGGTGGGGTGACATCAAGGGAAGACTACTGATATTTCTTTGTTACAGATTCGGTTCAAACAAACAAAAAAAATTATCTTGGACCCTGTGAATGACACCCTAAAAACAACTAAAAAAAAAAAAGACAGAAATAAAAAATAACAACCCTAAAACCTCCCAGAAGCTGAACATATTCGTAACGTGGCCCCTGCTGGAGAACCAAAGTCCCTGTCTCTGGCCATAATAGCCCATTACCATAGATGTTGCCATACCAGCTTTGTACCTGCAAGCAAATTTACTCCATGAAATTTGCACTTGTCTCCGCTTTAATGAAGTAATTGGTTTTTGGAATTATTTTTATTGCTAATTACATTAGCAGCTTTATGCACTCCTGGCTTGCTTCAGTAAGCATTTAAGGAGATGCCTTTTAATGGAGCATTATGTAATATGGAGAATTAAACAAACAACCCTGAGTAACGAGAGAGGTTTTACGTTCAGTTCTGAACCAAAGCACACCGGGTGGCTGGAGGAAATGTCACTTTAGTGGAAAGAAAAGGAGGTCTGTTACCACATGGACAGTGCCACCCCCTGCCAGAAGCACCCAGGTCACACACCGCGCTTGGGACGCCCAAGGCATGCTACAAGCAGGGGCTGCAGAAAGCTGTGACAGGCAGCCAGGTGCAGGGGTGATGTGTGTGCACACCCCTGTGGCTAGGAAGTGGGTCTGTGTTTGAAAACCTCTGCTCAAACACAGGCTTCATCCCCTGTCCGCTCTCACCTGAAGACCAGGCTGCTCCTCCACGCATTTCTCAGTACAGACCAAATGGACAGCTACAGAGACTGAACTTCTTCAGGCTCCCATTGAAGCCAAACCCAGCAATGCCATTGCAGTCCCTGTCTTGAAAATGCTCTATATGTAGCAAATGCACATATCCAGATCTACTCAATAGTCGCTTTGTTTCCCCAGCTCACATGGCATCTTTATTTAACTCGTCCAAGGATGTGCAAAAATTCATTTGCATAAAGCTCAAGCTGTACAAGACTCTCCGTTCTCACACACCACCAAAAACTTGGGCTTTGTTTTCCATAGTTATTCCCTTGGCTATATACTGGCTGAGTCACATACCAATGAGCATCCAACCTATACTTGTTACCGTGCATCTGTGCGGACAGCAAAGCATGACTGCAGCCCTTTCTGCACACACGCCTCTACTTCCATGAGATGGTTCAAAAGAGGCCGAGGTCCATAACACACAGAAACCTACAGAGGAAATGGCCACACGCTTCCACCTCTGGATCCAGAGCTGCAGCCTGACCTCCCGAATTGCCAAGGCATGAAGGTCTCTAGGCCATGAACTTTTTGCTCCCTCCACCCCAAACTTCAGCCCACACTTAACTGCCCGGTGCCAGAGCTGACTTCAGCTTTACTCTGGCTGTTAGGGGCATGCCTTCACACTCCATTTAACCTCCGCCTGGCCGTGTCTCCCCAGGGGAGGAGAACATCACTCTCAACCACAT